CATAGCGATAGCCGGGCGACCAGGAGGGAGTAACAGAAAACAGAAAGGAAACAAGGAGGGCTCGCTACATGCGCCTCCACAACCAACGTGCATGCTTGGGTCACATCCGACCCAGCTGCACCGATTATTTTAAACGGAAAACTATCTAGCCTGTAGACGTGAGCTTATGACAAAGGCTAACATTCTCCCCTCTAAGCTCAACGTCCTTTGCTGATTTCCTTGACACCAAGCTTCTGACGCAGCTCAATGAACTTCACACGCCCAAGTGCTTTTGTCAGTGCATCGGCCACCTGGTCATCAGATCCCACATGATCAAGCTGCACCTCTCCATGTTCAACACAGTCTCGGATGAAATGGAACTTGACATCGATATGTTTGCTTCGATCATGATGAACGGGATTCTTCGCCAACGCTATTGCAGACTTATTGTCAATCAAGAGCCTGAACGCACCACCTTTTTCTCCCTTCATTTAAGCAAGCAGACGATTCAGCCATAGGCCCTGGAAAGTAGCAGACGCCGCAGCCACGTACTCTGCCTCACAGGAGCTGATTGCCACAATCTTTTGCTTTTGGGAAGCCCATGTAACAGGATTGCTGCCAAGGAAGAAAATGTGACCAGATGTGCTCTTATGATCCTCAACGTCGCCAGCGTGGTCACTATCACTATAGCCCAGCAGCTCACTTTTCCCTAAACCACGCCCATAGCAGCACCCATAGCTCAAAGTACTGCGCACGTACCTAAGTATCTGCTTCACGGCTGTCCAGTGAGTGACTGTAGGCCTTTCCATGTATCTGCTCACTATTCCAACTGCATGAGTGATGTCCGGTCTTGAGTGCACCAGGTACCTTAGGCTACCAATTATGCTGCGGTACAGAGAAGGGTCGACAAGTTTTGCAACGTCATTCTTCCTCAGTTTGAGCCGACACTCCATGGGTGTCTGACATCCATGGCACCCTTCCATTCCAGCAGCTTCAAGAATTTTCTCTGCATAGCTCCTCTGACACAGGGTTATAGAATCATTGGATTGAGTTACCTCGATGCCCAGATAGTAGCTCAAGAGATCGAGATCACTCATTTTGAACAGCTCTTGCATTTGATTCTTGAACTCGCCGATGGAAGTCTTGCTGGTGCCGGTGATGATGAGGTCGTCTACATACACACCCACTAGCAGAAATGAGTGTGCATCACCGCGGCGATACACGGCATGCTCCAGTGGGCTGCGCGTGAACCCCAGCGTGCTCATGATCTCGTCCAGCTTCGCGTACCAGGCCCTCGAAGCTTGCCGCAGCCCGTAGAGCGCCTTTCGAAGCTGCAGAACCTATTGCTCCTTGCCGATGGTGACGTACCCCGGCGGCTGCGCCACGTACACTTCCTCGGTGAGGTCACCATTGAGAAAGGCGGATTTTACATCCATATGGTGCACCTCCCTGCCGGAGTGCGCGCCGAGCGCGCGAAGCAGCCGCACGGTCTCCATCCGTGCCACTGGCGCAAAAACTTCCTCGAAGTCCACGCCTTCACGCTGAACATAGCCTTTCGCCACCAAGCGGGCCTTGTACTTGACGATGTTGCCGTCGGGATCGCGCTTGACGCGGTACACCCACTTCAAACCAATGGCTTTGTGGCCGGCCGGCAAGTGGGCGAGCTCCCAGGTGTTGTTCTCGCCTATGGAGTCCATCTCGGCATCCATTGCCGCCTTCCAGGCCCTGTCGCTAAGCGCCTCAGTGATGTCGCGCGGCTCCTCTGCCGTGAGCAAGCACTGGTCGGGCTCCTCCCATACAGCCTCATGTTCTGCCTTGTCGAGAACATCGGAGAGGCCTCGGTACCGTATAGGTCCGGAGTCAACGTTGCCCCCATCATCATGCGTGGGCGACGTGGCCCAACGCATCTCCCTCGCAGCAACCGGCGTGCAAGGCTCGGTCCGCGACATGCCGGGCGCCGATGCGGCCGGCGTGTCGGCGGAGCTCAGCGGCGACCCCAATGGTGGTGTAGAGGGTGGTGGTGCTGCGCTCCTCGGTGCAGGTGTAGGCGAGCAGCCCGTGTCCAGCTCGTGCACACCATGGTCATTTGCATAGACCACGGTGAATGTCGTCGGCGCGGGTGGCGTGGCCGCGCCCTGTGCATTCCAAAAGTCCATGGCCTGCTCTCCTCAAATAAAGCATCACGTGTGACTTGTACCTTTTGTGTAGCCGGATTGTACACACGATAGCCTTTGGTTCCTTCCTCGTAGCCAATGAAGATCATTGGGGTTGATCGATCTGAGAGCTTAGTCACTTCAGGGCCAAGCTTCTTGACATGCGCCACACACCCAAACACACGTAGGTGCAGCACACTTGGCTTGTGGCCGTGCCAAGCCTCATACGGCGTCACCCCGTCCAAGCTGCGTGTGGGGGCTCTGTTGAGCAGGTACACCGCAATCTTTACTGCTTCAGCCCAGAAATACGACGGCACGGCCATGCTTTTGAACAAGCAACGCGCCATCTCGACGACGGTCTGATTCCGGCGTTCAACCACTCCGTTTTGCTAAGGGGAGTATGGGGTGGTCGTGTAGTGTTTGATGCCCAGCTGCTCGCAGTATCCTCTGAACTCAATGGAGTTAAACTCACCGCCCCGGTCAGACCGGAATGCGTGAAGCCTGCATTTTCCCTCGTTCTCAGCCATTGCCTGCACTTTCTTGAACTTCTGATGAGCTTCATCCTTGGATTTCAGTAACTCCAACCACATGTATCGACTGTAATCGTCAACTATCAGCAAGAAATACTTACTGCCCCCCGGTGTGGTTGGTGTGATTGGCCCACACAAGTCTGTATGAACAAGCTCAAGGCCTTTCTCTGCTCTGTATCCGGCCACTTGAGGAAAAGGGGCACGGTGCTGTTTGCCCAATGCACAACCATCACAGTACTCCTCGACGCGGTTAATGAGCGGCATCCCACGTACCATTTCCTTCGAAGACATGGCTCGCAAAGCTCTAAAGTGCAGGTGTCCCATCCTAGCATGCCAGCGCCAGGTGACATCTTCAGTCTTGGTGAGGAGACAGGCCGGGGAGTCAATGCTCAGTACGCCCGTGTACAATCTGCTCGCCGTCCGTTTGACGCGAGCCAGGATGCGCCGGCCCGGATCTTGGATGGTCATGATCTCATCTTCAATCCCTATCCTGCATCCACCCTCATCAACTGCCCTACTGAGATGATATTGCTGCGTAAGCTGGGAATGAAATACACTTCAGAGAGAGTTCGTTGATCACCATTCTGGCAGTGAAACACAACAGTGCCCCTGCCCTTGATAGCCACCAGAGAGCCGTCTCCGAATTTCACTGTGCTGTGTACACCTTCATCAAGTGTGGAAAACATGTTCCTCTCCCCAGTCATATGGCTGGACGCCCCTGTATCATAGTACCAAAGGCCATCGGGTAAAGGCACGAGAATTACTTTCTCCTCATTCAAGAACACAGCTTGGGGCACCACTAGCTCAGGTGTAGAGACGTTGGTGACCACGGCCATGAGCAGGCCCTGATCGTGTTCATCGCAATCTTCGCGGACGAGGTTAGCCTGTTCCTTCTTCCCTTGTTCCTTTTGCTTCTCAAGCCATGACCAACAGTCCTTTTTCCAGTGTCCGACCTTGCCGCAATAATGGCATTTGCCTTTCTTCTTGCCGCCTGAGCTGCCGGATCCTCCCACGCCGCCGCTGCCCGACGCAGGTCTGCCACCGCCGCCGCCGTGAGGTTTGGGCTTGCCCGGCGACTTGTTCTTGCCGCCGCCGCTACCGGACGATGAACCGCCGCCGCCGCCCAGCTTCTCCCGGGCCAGCCACTCCTCATGAGTGAGCAGGAGGCGCCCGGCGGTATGCGCGCCGTCGTCAAGGTCATAGTGATCCTCACATGCAGAGAAGCGGCCGATAAGCTCCTCGATGGATATGGTTTTCAGATCAAGCAAGGACTCGATCGCCATGGCCATTGGGCGGTACCGACGCGGCACCACTCGGAGAAATTTCTGGACTGCCTTGTGCTCGGTGACGGGGTCGCCGTACAGCTCCAGATCAGCGACAAGGGCGGCGAGCCGCAGCCCGAAGTCCTCGACGGACTCCCCATCTCTGAAACGGAGATCCTCGAACTCCCGTCGGCGCACTTGCGCCTTGGCTTCACGGGCGCGCTCACTGCCCATCCGCATCGTCTTGATGGTCTCCCACGCCGTCTTCGTCTTGTCCTTCGCGGCCAGCACATGCATCATCTCTGGCGGAACGCCGGTGAGAATGATCTGCTGCGCGCGCTGGTCGTCCTTCTCGTCGGCGGCGTCGTCGGTCACCGCGGACCAGACGCGGGCGACCTGCAACTTGACTTGCATCACAAGCGCCCACTCCTGGTAGTTCGTGCGCGTGAGCATCATGGACGCCCCCGACTCCTCTCGTACCATGCGCTCCACCACACGGTACTCGCCGCTGCCGCTACCGGTGAGGCGCGCGAGCGGCGCCTTGGATGAAGGCGTCTTCAGCGGCGACTTCGTGCCGCTCTTGTTCTTCTTCTCCTCCTCGCTATCTGACATGGTACGCCGCGGATCGGATACCGCCGGCCACCGGAGAGTGGATCGAACACCACGGCTCTGATGCCAAATGTCGTTGCCGAACGATCGAACGAGAGAGAGAGAGAGGAACTAGCTTGAGGGCGAGATGAACACGGACAAACTTGGAATGGTATTTTGTTCTGCCGTAACTGCGCAGCTTTTCCGTTTTTTCTTTTTCCTTATTATCTGATTACAATCGCTAGTCTGCCCTCCCGGTCCGGCCGCCATGATCCGCGTAGATCGCGCTGCCCCGCGATCACGTCCATAGCGAGAGCCGGGCGACCAGGAGGGAGTAACAGAAAACAGAAAGGAAACAAGGAGGGCTCGCTACATGCGCCTCCACAACCAACGTGCATGCCTGGGTCACATCCGACCCAGCTGCACCGATTATTTTAAACGAAAAACTATCTAGCCTGTAGACTTGAGCTTATGACAAAGGCTAACACCAGCCTCCCCGGTTTCCGCCACCGCCTCCCTCTCCGCCGCCACCACTGGCAAGGACGGCGGCGGCGAGGACCGCATCAGCGCTCTTCCAAGCGACCTCCTTTGCAACGTCGTCTCTCGCCTCCCCGTCAAGGCCGCTGCCCGCACCGGCGCGCTCTCCCAGCGCTGGCGGGGCCTCTGGCGCGCCGCCCCGCTCGTCCTCGACGACGCCCACCTCCTCCCGGACGCCGCCGCGGCGTCCCGCGTCCTCGCCTCCCACCCGGGCCCCTTCCGCTCCGTCCGGCTCATCAACAACCTCATCGACGAGTCCAACAAGGACGCGCTCCTCGCCGAGTGGCTCCGCCTCCTCGCCGACAAAGGCGTGGAGGATCTCATCCTCGCCAACGACCCTTGCTCCCGTGGAGCGATGCCCGTGCAGCTACCGCCGTCCCTCCTCAGCTGTGGCGCCTCGCTCCGCCGCCTCTACCTCGGCGTCTGGCTCTTCCCTTTCACCATCGACCTCCGGCGCGGCCCCGGCGTCTTCCCCCACCTCCAAGAGCTCGGCATCTGTCACGGCATCACCCAGGAGCGTGACCTCCAGTACATGCTCGCTTGCAGCCCCAAGCTGGAGATCTTGGCGCTCATCGGCACCTTCTGCCTCCCCGACCGCGTCCGCGTCCGCCACCAAAGCCTCCGTTGCGTGGTGCTCTGGCATTCTCTGGTGGACGAGGTCGGCGCCATGGCCGCCCCGCAGCTGCAGCGGCTCATCATCTACTGCACCAACTCCACTGGGCCTGGAATCGGAAGGACCATCAAGGTCAAGATAGGCCGTGCTCCTCAGCTCGCCGTGCTCGGCTACTTGGACACGGCCAAGCACGTGCTTGAGATCGGCAACACCATCATCAAGGTCGTCAAATCTCTTTGGTCATCTTTGAGTGGTAGCTTGGTTTGACTTGCATTGAATTAGACTATCAATTTGAGTGATCTTTCCTTTTCAAAAAGATAAAATGTGCGATCTTTGAATGATAGCTGCCTTGATTTGCACTGAGTTGAACTATCAATTTGATCGCTTTGCAGGCTGGGGTGACAAAGGTTTGCCCAAGTACAGTGGTTCCAAGCGTCAAGGTGTTAGCTCTCAAGGTGCGATTCAGAGTCGCTGCTGAAGTGAAAACTTTGCTGGGCTTCTTGAGATGCTTCCCTGAAGTAGAGACCTTGCACATTATGGCTGTGAGTTTACTTTTTACCCTCTATGACTTTACAATTTGCGTCATCGCCATTTTCACTGCTTGGTTTGTTCCACCTTCCACTGAACTGAATGGCGCGCTTTCATTTTGCAGTCCGACAATGACACCGACTACTACGAGGACCATGGCCAAGTCAAGGTAAGGGACAGGCTCAGTTCCACCTTCTGGCAGCGGGTCGGTCCGATCGGATGCGTGGAGTCGCGTGTCAAGAGGGTGGTGTTCGATCAGTTCACCGGGTGGACAAACGAGGTTGGGTTCCTGAAGCTGGTCCTTGGGAGAGCTGTGCTGCTGCAGAAGGTGACAGTCGTGCTGGCCCGTCCGGATTCTGCGGCGATGAGTGAGGCCATGCGCAAACTGCAGCCGTTGGCTTCCAAGAGAATGTGGGCCACTAAGGTTGTGGACAATCTTTCCTTTGTAGTCTGTGGGCGCATGGCAGGTCATTTGTGTTGGTACAAAGAAGCATCTGATCTTTCTATCAGTGACCCGTTCATTTCTATGTTAGGGCTGCACTGATGGAGCATTTCTTAGAAGCTAGAGCATCGCCGTTTGGCTGTTTGAGTGACTTATTTCTATGTTAAGGCGGTACTGATGGAGCGTTCATTGGCGTTATCGTTTAAATGACTCGTATCTCTGTATGAATGTTAGTGATGCATCGTTCAGTTAGCAGCCCTTTTTTGGGTGTTGGAGATTTAGGGTGCAAAAGACTTTCATATCTTGGATATGCAGTTACTGTGGCTGTTCCTTAACGTTGCTATCTGAACGATAAATATTGTGTCTGCACTCGAGGTGATTTCCACATGTTGGTATATGCACTCAATGTAATTTTCATGGCCTGACTCTGCTAATGTTGCAATTTGGCAAGATTTATACTCAGTTTCAATGCTCAACGCGCTGGTTTGTCGTAAGTTGTGGAACAGCTCCTGAGAATTGCTCAAAGTTTCAGACTCCCTATAAGGGATAGAAACTTTGACAATCCTTCTACGCCCCTTCATGCACTCTCGTTACATTTTCAGTTAAAATGGATCAGAACTGACCATCTTATCACTAATTCACCGTCCTTAGGTCCACCTGTAATGCACTTATTAATTATAATTCAGCGAACAAAAATTGAACAGAAAGCCCCCTGTTCTCCATGCCAAATTTTGAAGCTAAATGTTCAGAAGCATGAATCAATCAAAACAATGATCCAAATGGTCTGAAACTTTCCCATCTTACTCATATATATGTATTCTTCAATTTCTGGGTACTTTTCAAAAATTTCTGGAACTGCGAAATTTCTGTCAAAATACAGTCAAATTTTGAAGACAACATTTGGGCATCATTTTGACCATACTAGGACTCGAATCAACCAACATACAACACACGGAGAATGAGCCTTCAGAGCGCCTCTTACCTACTGCCCTACTGATCGAACATTGGCTTCAACAGAAAAAAATAACAGCAAATATGTTGCTTTTATGTGTTTCTCATCGTGAATTCCAGTGTAGGTTGGAATACATAGGGCCATAAATAGCCATAAAGGAAATGGCACCTTCGTCTTGCAGGACTTCATAAAGGCCCTAGTAGAATAAAACATTTCTAACTTAAATCACCCGATGAGCACAATCTCGCAATAGTAGATGATGGATTGCCACGATGAATGGGCTAAAACATGTTAGAAAAGCTGAATTAACATGGGCAAAAGCATGCTACAAAAGCTGAATTATCATAATCTGTCCGTCACAATGCAAAGCACGGTCGGAGTGTTCTAAAACAGGAAACATAAAATAGTACTCCCTCCGATCCATATTAATTGTCGCTACAAAGTTGTATTAAAGCAGCGACAATTAATAGGGATTGGAAGAAGTATCTCTTTTAAGACATGATGCACATTCCAAACACACGCTACTACTGTGAACGAACATGGCTCGGATTTATGAATAAACAACAGTCTGACATTCAGATAAAATAGCAATCCGATGCAGCACAATTAACAGAACAGAGCAAATTGACAAGTTCCAAATACCTGACTAGTTTCATTCCACACACTTGCACGTGCAGAAATAGCAGGCGCGTCTATTAGCAGGCATACAACAAGTTCACAATCATTTTGACTTAATACAGAGCCTCTATTAACTTACTAATTGCAGAGGAACTAAACATCGGTGATGCTCTCACCACCTTATGCCGCAGACACACCGCCATTGTCTGATGAACTCTAGGTCAAATGTAGATGACCACATTACAACCAAAAACACCCTACTACTCCCTCTGTAAACTAATATAATAGCGTTTAGATCACTAAAGTAGTGATCTAAACACTCTTATATTAGTTTACAGAGGGAGTACATACCAAAAGTCTATTTTGAAGTTGCAGCACCGCCTTAGTAGGCACCATCTCCAATCCTTAGCACATCAGCCTGACCTCCAGCGCCTTGTTCCATCAACTCCTCTTTAGTAGCTGTCCTATCTCAAAATTATGCACAACCGTGAAGTAGAAAACACATGAAGAAGCCAGCAGAATAGCTGCGATAAAATAATAGGGCTTAAATAGACAGCACACATGATAGATGTATAATCAACCTTCAGAACTCTTTTTCCCCGTGCTCCATTTAGCAGAATTGACCGCAAACACTCACTTCTGTTGGTTTAACATTTGTCATTTGCAGGTAGTACAAGATTTTATATAGGTATATATGTAGGGTAAACTGGTAGGTCAGCGTTCACCTTATCAAGAGCAAAACAAAGGCATCCAATCATTTAGAATTAATCATAGAAGAATTTAAAAGAGTTGGCTGAGTGGCAACAGTGCAAAAACTTTGTATCTCCAGAATTCCTGCAGGTCATTGTTCAAACTTTATAGAAACATGGGTGCCCTATCTCTAACTTAACTTGAGAAGCTCATTTTAAAATCAAAAGGTTTCTGATAACAAGCTTCATGAGATCTTTTTTCCCATTTAATATACAGGAGAACATTTGTGGTATGAATGGCTCAGGATTTTATTAGCAAATACACCAGGTATGCCTCATTATATATCTTCATAAGTGTACTGATCACTAATAAAGTAATAGGACTTTTCACCTATTATATCTTGCCAAAGAGAAGTGAAAAAGATTGCTTGACTGCAATAAATGTTTGCAAGGTGAAACAATCAAAAGGTGAACTGGTAGCAATGTCCTGATTTAAACGGTAATGCCTTCTCCGTTAGTTTGGCCATCTTCTGGAAAAAGTGACAACTACCAGATTCTGTAATCAAGAATTACCAACCACAGTAATAACTATCAAGCAACAGAGAAGCTATGAAGAGAAGGAAACTAGGAAACAACAGGAAATTTACCACTCCATACCGTCGATGATGACAAAAACAAGGAAATGCCATCAGTGTTTCTACTACAATGTGCCATTTCCATGATTGAAGCTGAATTGTGATGCTTGAATTATATGCGTTACAAATACTATAGTTTGAATTGTTCTGATGTCAAATAGAATACAAATAGAGTATATGCAAATAGAGAGAGAAAATAAAGCAGGGGATATTGCTGGAGTTGGGTGCTTTTTCTGGGGCTGGAAAGGTAGGGTCAGCACCGACTTTACCTTTAGGGGCTTTGTTTTAGATACCCCTGCTGGAGATGCTCTTAGGGGTTCTGTCAGAGCAGTGCACCCTAAAACCCCAAAAAACTTTTAAGGGCTGCCCTTAAAATTATTTTAGAGTCTGCCCATTTAGGGATTCTGCTAGAGTTGCTCTAACACAGTCCATGATGGCAAGCCGACAAAAGATCACTCCAACTCCGGGATGGGACAGGTCGCCATTGTCTGGTGTTGGACGAGAAGACAAAGGCGGCCAATTTTTCATGCCATTAGAATCACAACTCCTTCCAGAACATTCATTAAGGAATTAATGAAGAATCACCAATTTGGTTTTGCTCATATCATATACATGAGATGCACTGGTGGTAGCCATGGATCATGTTTTTATTTGAAAGGGTAAAGATCACCACATAAGGCCTTTCTGCCTCCTTATATCTATTAAAACAAAAGCAGACAAGATAAGGCCCTACAACTAGAATGAATGTTGCCGACGTAGGTGAACAGAATTTCCAGCTTGTATCCCTTCTTAGTTGTAGTCTATTGTTTTTTACAATGTCATGATGCCTCCAAAAGTTTACTCATGGTGTGCAAGCTCCTTTCTTTTACTTGTCCGATTAACTTAAAAACAGACAAATCAATAAAGGACTGCTATGTTCCTGAGTTTGATTAGCTTTGCACAAGGGCATAAAAAGTAACAACTACCAAACTGTGTAATAAGAATTACCAATCACAATATTGAACTACCTAGTATCAGACAAGCTGTCCAATTAACTATGAAAGGACTGACATGACTAGGGCGCGACAGAAAGCTTACCACTTGTTACTGTCGGTGACGATAACAACGATGGTGGGAAGTTACTATATGGGTGGCCATAATGTCGACTACATATTCTTGTAAGCTGGAATGATTCCGTGTCCAGTGTGAAATAGTTTGGCTCATCCTAGTAGTTTTCCAACTGAATCAGGAGCAAGCACTTGTCCACAAGTAAATTGCACAAAACCATCACTTTGAAGGCTAGGTTTGCGAAAAACACTACAATACTTTTTTTTTTTGCAAAAAACACTATGTCTTCAGTAATGTTTTTGCAAAAACCACCGATCGGCGGATTTGGCTCTATTAAGCACGCTTATGACACTTGAGGCCCCTTTTTGCCTACGTGGCGTAAAATTTCATGCTAGGTCAATTTTAATCTAATTTTACAAACTAGTCCATACTTTTTACACAGACGCCCCTAAAGCAAAAAGAAAAAATGCAATCAGATCCTCGCCACAGGTTGGGGCGGTCAACGCAGCCTGCGTTGGGCACCTCCTCGCGGAGGAGGCCAAATCGCGGCAGCGGCGACATCCCTCGCCGGATCCCACAGCCGGCGCTGGGCGCATCCTCGCGCTGGAGGCCAATCGGGGCGGCGGCGTGGCATACCTCGCCGGATCCAGCAACCGTCGATGGGCGTCTCTTCGCGGAGGCCAAATCGTCTCTTCGCGGTGGTGCGGCCTCCCTCGCCGGATCGGGATGTGGCGGCGCTGGGGGCAGAACGGGCCGACAGAGCAGCGCGACATCTCTCGCCGGAGGTGCAACGCCTGGAGCGCATGCGCGCATCGCCGTCTGCAGCTCCTGTCGAGGGGCGCGGGGAGCGTCGGGGCCTGCTCGAGGTCGGCCCTTACCCGCCTGGATGGTGCATGGCGGCGGTGGCGCGGTTGAGCAGAGGCGGGTGCAGCTGGCAAACGCTGGAGCGCGGCGGGGCAGGAAGGTGAGCACTGTGGCGGCTGGCGGATGGTGGTGACCGGCGCCATCAAGGCAGTTGACTGTGTGGCAGGACATGGCAAGGGGCTGGGCAGCACATGAGAAAAAACTTGCGGGTGTTTTAGCTTTTTTACCCGTCTAACGCTGTCTTGGATAAAATGTTATGCCACGTCACCAGGTCCTATCTGTCATAATCTTACTTAA